CGCTTTGCTCCTTCTGTGCTCTGGCAGATGCACACAAAAGAGTCAGTTCTTTCTTTTAGTAAAGCACAAAGCAGAACAGTCAGGAGCAGCGTCCTGTTGTGGTTGGTGTGGCATAAACAGGAAGAAAAAAGTCCTCAGACCTTAAGATAAAGGTCAAACATTGAAGAGGTAAGACATAGTTGAGGGAAAAAATGTTTTCTGGGCTGATTTTAGAGGTTGCTAAGCCTTGATAGTATGTCTTGGCAAGTCCCTTACCCAATTTATTTTTCAACACTAAATTTGCCTTTTCACTCTCCTACTAAAAAAATTTCTTCTATCCCACAGATTTCCCCTCCAACTCCAAAAGAATAACTTGATCAGCCAGTCACAACACCTTGAGATTTCCAGTAGCTAAAATCAGCCTGGATTTCAACACCTTGATAGACCTTCAATACCTTAATGATCAGATTTCTGTTTCCTTCACCAGCTTTGTGAGTGGGATGAGGTGCAAATGGGGAAATCTGAGGGAAAGTAGCAGTGGACAAGAAATAAAGGCATCAGCAGTGTGGTGTCACTGCTGTGTGGAGTAGGGCCACTGTCTTCAGGGAGGATTCACACGCTGTTCTCGTGATGTGCTGCTGCTCCTATTCTTTCTTTGTTGTCTTCCTACCATGAAGAAGCATCCTGATTTCCTGGTCCTGGTATCCTGATGGTTCTGGTGACAGTGAAGGCAGCCCTTTGTCCCTCCTTCTGCCATGGCTTCAGGGGCTGGGACGTGTTTCAGATGTGTTGTTCCCCAGGTTAAACCTCTCGACCATTATCAGAGCAACTGGAAGTGTTTTGTGTTTTTATGTAAAGCAGTATTTGTTTACTTATTTTCAATGCATAACACACAGGGACGTTTAGTGGAGATTTGATTGGTGTCTCATCCAAATTTGTTGTGTCTAGACCTGGAAATAATGTATTTTAATTGTTTTAAGCAAAAATTGCCCTGTCCATCAGGGTATTTACGTGGCAGTGGCAGTGCTAGTAATATAAATTAGCAACATCACGATTCCACTGTGTGATGTGTAAAAGAATTTGGAATTCTTATTCACATGCAGTGTGAATTAATGAAGTATGGAAGTAAGTATGGATCAGTGGTTCACTTGCTGTTAATAAAAAATATGTTGAATGATGACTACATTTGTATTTGTAACTAGATTCCCAAAGGACTGTTACTGTTCACCTGGATGACAAAAAGGAGACTGTAGGGAAAAAAACCCCAAAACCAGCAATATAGGCCTTAATTGAGTAATCAGCAATTTACTATTCAGTAAGATTAAACAGTATGCAAATGATAATTCTTTCTGACTTCTCTAAATTCTTTTTTTAATTCGGCATCTGATAGTAACTAACTGGATCAAATTTGTATGCATTGAAGAATCGTAGGATGGTAATAAAAACTGAGACTGGATTCCCGAATCTCAGATATTCATGATGCTCAACGCATTAAAATCTTGCCGTGTCTTGCCCTGGTGTGGCCAAGAATGTCAACAATATTCTGTATGAAGTTTCACTGAGTTGTTCCAATAGGAATTCATCAATTCCTAAAACGTGATTATAGGGTGGCTTTTACCTTTTTTCTTGCTCTTCTTTGAAATCTGTTACTAATATAGACAAATGCATAATTCCAGGTACTGAAGTTTCTTAACTGTTTGGTGCATTTAATCTTGAAGAGAGTAAGTTGCCTCTTGGGGGAATTCCCTTTTGAACTAATCTAATTCTAGCATCTTTGCTGGCAGGTAAGCAGGTGCTGGGAGATGGCTGTCCTGATAGAACTGCTCATGCCAAGAAATCAGGCTTCTGATGTATGGCAGCAGTACAGACAGCTGATTTATGGGTGCTTTTTTAAAATACATATTATTGGACTTTCTGTAGCTAATCAAGAGTGACTGTAATCCATCTCACCTTCCTCCTGCCTGCGAAGAATTTCAGACCTTGCTAATGCATGCAGTGCCATTTATTTCGATTGGCAGTGTGACCAACGCTGTGGCTTAGCCAAGTGTTCAGATAGAAACATACACCTCTGTGTACAGAAGACTGTAGTACTTCAGTTCATTGCTAGTTCCCGTCATTAACATTTTTCCTGTACCTCAGTTCTCAGAAATGGCATGGTGCAGTTTACTGGTTAATACGAGAAATGAAAGGAAAACCGTAGCACTATACAGATTCTTCTGCTCACTGGCCAAGCCAACAAGTATGATCTTTCACACTGAGAGAACTACGTAGGCCTCAGCTTTGTGCTGTCAGCCAAATTTGTCGTGTTCAGAGTTCTGTCTTCTAGGCTTCATGCAGTTTACTTAATTATTCCCAAATGTCTTTCATCTCTTGGACTGTGCAGGTTATAATCTCTGTATTTTGCCTAAGTAAGCAGGCAGTTCTGCTCCCTCTTTAAATAGGTTTTCTGAACGCTTCTGTTCAATAACACACAGCCAAGCTCTGGATCAGGTAATGACAGTAGTAAGGATAGAAGAGCATTAGAGATGGGGAGCAGAGCTGTGGGGCACTGGAGTGGTGGGAGATGCAAGAAGAGTTTGGTTGGTTTGGTTAAAGGCTCGGAGAGGTGAGACACTTCTCTTTATTAAAAGGAGCAATTAATTATCCTTTAGAGAAACTGTTGGGCTTTTTGTTTCATTTCTGCCTTTGCACTGGAAGTCTTAGGGGCTTTTACATGTGTGTTCACATATTAATTTAAACTAAATATTGTTCTTGTCGCTTTAATAGATGAGACTGAAATGGAATCAAGTGGGGCTAAAATGCAAATGAGACATTGGATTAGTCACAAGTTACACCAGTAAACTTTGTTTTGTTATGGAAAGTGCTGTAATTGCTGCTTTACATATAACATGCTGTCATTTAAGTTAAACTTGCAGAGAGAACCTTTGTTTTATTTTGTCGAAGGACAGCTTTATTTAGCTGCTTTGGGAACACTGAGAAGCAGGAGAACCTGGGCTGGAGGTCTCAGCTCTCATCCTTGACTTTAACTGCCAAAAAGCACCCTGCATGAACTCCTGATGCCTGCCTGCAGGGCAGGGCAGTAAATGTGTTGGTCCTTGACACTTCTTAGGTATTATGGATAGTTTCTAGCTGCCTGTGGCATTCTTTAAAAACCATCCAGGGTGGGTGTTTGTTCATTAATGCAGTAAAGCAGTGCCAACACCACTTACACTCCTTGCTTCTCTTGCTGAACAGGCTGCAGTGCAATGTCTGTCCTCCCAGTGCAGAGCTACATGGCCCAAGTGGAGCGTTGGGACTGGAGCATTGCAACTCAGCTGCAATGGGAGCAAGTATAAGATACAAATTGCAGCGTCAACCTACTGAGACCTTGCATTTTCTTGTGGAAAATGAGATTTTGCAGATAGCTGGCTTTATTTCCAGTGGCATGGTTCCATCTGCAGAACAATTCTGTCAGAGGGATGCTCCTTAGTAGGTGTTGGGACCTCCAGTTCAGTAGACACAGCTGGTCTCTGTGAGCACTCTCGCCTACCTGCCAACAACAGTGAAGTAGAATTTGAAGGTGATTCTCTGCTTTGGCTCTTGGTGCCTCTTTTTGTAAAGCTAAGAATCTGAATAGTTATTTGGTTAAAATTTTTACACCTTTCACATTAGGTTAGTCATGTAGCTAAAATCCACTGGCCTTTCCTGCAGCAGTTGATGTCTGCTGCCCTCTTAAGTGGTGCTTGCTTAGGAAACCAGACTTTTTGTATGAAACAGTTTCTGTAAGGTTTTGAAGTGTACTATAATTTGAAAGAAGCCATGAGCCTGGATATAGATGCTGGGAAAGGTGATCTTCCTGTATTTTTGTCAGTCCTTTTTATGTATTACAGCTCTAAATACAAAGCTAAAAGCTCTAAAACTTATGGGGGGGGGAAGACTTTCAAGGAGGAATATTTCCTTTTTCAAATCTGATAGTTTGACTTCTTCAGCAAATCCTTACTCCTTACCAGGCCCTTGTTTTTATTTTAAATTTTTCAGTGATGGCTTTTAGGTGAAATGTGCAACATGAAAATTTCAGGCATCCATTCTGTATTTGGAAGAAAATTCCTAGCTCACACATTGTTCAGGAATTTCTACTTATCTCTGTAATCAATCAACAAAGTCAGATTTTAAACACAGTGGTAATTTGAATGAATTACTTTTTAAATGGCGTGAAATATAGCTCCCTAATTAATGTTCTGACAAGACAGAAGCATTCTCTGGCTTTGGAAAAAGCTGTTTATATATAAATTCCTTTTCTTTTTTTTCTTTCTTTTTTTTTTTTTTTTTTCTTGAGCAAGATAATACAGCTGTTTAAGATTATCCCAAGTGTTAAAAACAAACAGCTGGGTGGGATGTAATTTGGCCTGTGTGAATAGTTTTCCAGAAGTACCTGCCTGTGTTCTTGTATCAAAGCTGAGAAACATGGGCGCCAAAGGAGAGTTCAGTAGAACTGTGGTGTTCTTCTGAATTAAATATGAAGGTGTTTTGTTGTTTGTTTTTTTTTTTCTTCTTTTTAATTTATAGACATGCTTCAACATTTTTTAAAGCCATCAAGCTTTAATTTCTTTTCGCTTATGGATTTAATAATTTTGTGTTTTAGTCTATAAATATATGCTTTTATGTGTCTGATGTTAAGCTAAGTTGGTTAGCAACATATCAAAACAATTCCATCTTTCTTATTAATCCCATAGGCAGCTTTTGCAAATGTTTCTATGCTGTTAATGATTGCAGTGAGGCATTAAAGCACATTTAGAGAACAGAATTCCTTCCATGTCTCCCTCATGCCCTTCAAGTGTGGTACTGCGTGTAGTTGGTTTGGGGCGCTATTACTGCTGTTTAGTACTGGTCCCCAGTGAAGCTTTTTACACGGTCTTCCTTTGCCAGTAAGAAATTGGGTTTGCTTTCTTGTGTTCTGTGCAACCCATGTTTTTCCGTCTGTTAAAACTGGCTTTTGGAGAGTTACAAGAAAACTGTAAAACCACTGTAATGTTTTCTTTCAGGAATTACAGCGGAAGTCCTAGTGGTAGCCTCTTTTGATGAACTGCACAGAAGAGCTCAAGAGGCCAAGGGGAAGATCGTTGTCTACAACCAACCTTTCATCAGTTATGGTGAAACTGTGCGGTACAGATCACTGGGAGCAGTGGAAGCTGCTAAGGTTGGAGCAGTGGCATCCCTCATTAGATCCATTGCTTCTTTTTCTATTGATAGGTAAGCATTTTTTTTCTTTTCTCCTCACGTCTCACATTTCAGCCTTTACTTCACATGTCATTTTTGGGTGGGCATTTTTGTTTTTCCCAACTTAAACGTTGCCAGTTATGAGTGGGTGTTCGGTTTTGAAACTATTGGCTGCACGATAGTTCTTTTCCCTTGTGCTTTGTCATTCTTTCAAAATGTTTTCATTTTTTGTTACTGATCCAAATTGTGATTTTTTTTTAATTTTTTTTTTATTTTTAAAGAACTTCCTGTATTCTCAAGGCTAGTATAAATATTCTGAAGTAACCAAAATCATGTCTGTGGTGACAGCATGTATCAGACTATGTGTGATAACTCTCTGTATTTCACTGGACTGTACGTGCATAGTTTTTACTGTATTGGTAACTTCCTAAGCACTAGGCTGGCTTGTACTAGATGAAACAGTAGTCTGCTTCAGACACCATTAATTCAGAGCACTTTAGAAATAAGATTGGTATTTCTCACTCTGTTCTTTAAATAAGATAGGCTGAAACCATGTTTTCTTGTATTTTAGATGTCTTAGTACATTGGCTACTTACCATATATAGCTGGTAAAAGAATTTTTTTTTTTAATCTGAAGTTTTTTTCTGACTCTGAAATATTGTTCATAAAATGCTCATCTGTGTTGAAGAAAACAAGTTGAGGCACAGAGAGAAAATGGTGAGGAGTCTGGCCATTGGGTACACACTGTTATTAATATAGCATTTTTAAAATACGACACAGTTGTTGGTGAGTCTAATGCCTGCAGTGGGCTTTGTCCAACAGCCTGCTGGCTGAGATGAGAGATCATACAGGCTCAGAGCTGGACTGAGGACTGTGGATGAACCAGAAACATCCCCAGTCCTTCCCCCTGGAACTTGAGCTGTGTGATGAACAGGATCCTGTGTGGTTGGAGACAGGAGTAGCTGGGTGTTTAAGCCATTTCGGAGGAAAAGCTTAACTGCCTGGCAACTAAACCCCTTACACAAGGTGGTACTGAAGAGATGCATGGGTACTGATGGATGGGAAGCTGGACGTGAAAAAGCAATATGCCACAGCCCAGAAAGCCAACTGTATTCTGGGCCACATCAAAAGAAGCGTGGCCAGCAGGTTGAGACAGGTGATCCTGCCCCTCTGCTCTGTGCTAGTGAGACCTCACCTGGGGTACTGCATCCAGATGTGGAGTCCTCAGTACAGTATGAGACTTGGGCCTGTTGGAGCACATCAAGAGGAGGGACACAGAAACGATCTAAGGAATGGAACACCTTCCTTATGAGGACAGCTTGGGAGAGCTGGGGCTGTTCAGCCTGGAGAAGAGAAGGCTCTGGGGAGACCTAATAGTGGTCTTTCAGTACCTGAAGGGGGGCTGTAAGAAAGAAGGGGACAGACTGTTCAGCAGAGTATGCTGGGATAGGACAAGGGGAAATGGTTTCAAAGTAAAAGAGAAAGGATTTAAACTGGGTATATGGAAAAAGTTTTTTACAGTAAGGATGGTGAAACAATAGAACAGTTGCCTGGAGATGAGGTGGATGCCCCATCCCCAGAGACATTCAAGCTCAGGCTGGCAGGGCTCTGAGCTACCTGTTCTATCTGTAGGTGTCCTTGTTCATTGCAGGGGAGTTGGACTAGATGACATTTAAGGGTCCCTTCCAACTCAAACAAGTCTATGACTCTGTGGACTTTATAAAAGTAAGTGGTTCTGCATTTTGTAATACTATTCTGTTTGGCTTTGCGTGTTCCAAGTAGTGCATGTTATTTGTTGCTACCCCCAGCTGCCCGTTAGGTCTTTACCCGAAGAGTCATCGTTATCTGTGGCTAACCTGACCCTGAGTGTGTACCACACTGGAGACATGTCCTGTTAGGGTAATGGCATGGTTTCTTTTTAATCTGTGGTCCTTGGTTTTGTTACTATAGAAGTGAAGGCTAGGAAGCAGGAAGAAGTAGTATAGCATTGGGTCTTTCTTGTGGCTGACAATGGGAAGTGGCTGGGGCTGGCATTTGGAAGCACTCTTGAGTCCACTATTGAGGTCAGAATCTAAGTGGTCACATCTGAGCAGTGTTAGAATTGTGCAAACCTCATCATTTGTGATGCTTCAAAAAGTGTGAGAAGTGAAGTAATGTCGACTAACTGACTTGGATCATGTGCTATGCTGTTGGTGTTGTGCTTGATAACATTTTTATGTGTTTCATATGTTCCCCTAAAGAAGCTGACATTATGTGCTTAAATTGCTTTCTTGAAAATAAAGTATTTTGAATTCAGATACTGTCCAAACCATAGTAGTGCTCCACAAATGTATCACTTTATAATACATTTTCTAGTACTAATAATGTTCTAGTAAATTTAACACTGTTGAACAGAAAGTGGAATATGTTTCAAAAATAGTTTTATGGGGGGGAAAAAAAAAGGTATATTTTGCAAATAGCCTTATTTGTTATCATTAGAGAACATTGTAATCTATGACCTGTTGATTGTCTGAAAACCAGAAGATGATCTGAGCGCTGATCTTTCCGCTCCTTATTTCTGGCACCCTGCAGAGGCATTCATTTGAAAGCTGCTCTTTGCATCTTCTGTTTTCCAACCTGTTTCTGGAAGTGTTTTTTACGTGTAATGGAAATTGTAGAGATGTGGAACAGAGGTAGAAGCTCAAGGTAGTAAGGCCTGTTCATGAGATCTGAATACTGTGTTACAGTTATATCAGAATTGAATGAAAAGAGAGGAAACATAGCTGCCAAATGCATGTTTGTTTAGAACCATTGAATCCTTAATCTATGCTGTGAGCTGAGGTGTCAAAAGCAATTTCAAATTTAGATGCTGCCAAGAAGCACTTTTTTCATGGAGTGTACTTTCTGTCCCTTCCACACTTAGCTTCACTTAGGAGTTTCTTCTAGGGAAGGAGGAGGAATTGGTTAATCTATTTTTCCCTGCTGTAAGAGAAGTATTCAGGCTCAGTCACTTCTGCCCCTCCATGGTGCCCAGATCTGTGTTGTGTTTCTGTCAGGAAACAAGCATTGCTGCAGACAGAATGGATTCTCCTGTATCTGTGCCTCCTCCTGTGTTTTCTTCTGTTCCCTGTTTGTGTCCCCTTGTCAGTCTATAGCTGTGCTGTGCTGGGCATTCTGCTGGGATGCAGTGCCTCTCTTCAGCCAGCATCTGGGGCTCCTCTTGCCTAAGCTGCTTCTTAGCGTGATTAATAGCAAATGCTGCATTGCTGGAGGGAACAAGTTAGAAGAGTGAGAGATGAAAGGTAAAGTGCTGTTGAAAGGCTTCTTAGTATTGTGAAATAAACTCCTGCATTCTTCCAGTTTGTACACTACTACTTTGTTGACCAGAACCTTCACTTTGGAGAGCCCCCAGTCCACATATGCACCTCTATATGACTAAGTGATAATGGTATTAGGGCAGTTTTCCAAAGCAAACATATTAGAAGAAAGTATCCCCCTAATACTCACTGTCCCACTTCCCTCAGGTCACCGAAGGGCAGAACTTCACTGTTTTCCCTCAGTTATATCAGTGTGTTTTTTAGTGTGGGGGGGGTTTTTTGTTTGTTTGTTTGTTTTTAAGATTGCAACTTATATTGAACAGGGCCTGTTGCTACTCTGTTTGCAACAGATTAAGCTGGCTAAAACAATGAAAACCTCTTCACAGTGTGATTTCTAGGTGATCTTGCAATGTGAACAATATTGGTAGCTTAAAAAGAAGTGCAGTCTAGTAAATCAGCATCTTAGGCTTATTGAGGCAGGTTATTAAAGTTTACTGACAGGATGGAATTGGTAAGATCCCAGAGTGAATGAAATCAGTGTTCTCTTACTGGCAGCCTGCTGACTGTTCCTTGGTCCAGAATTGGCAAGCAGCTACCATGCCGTCAAGGGCAAAAACTGTGGATCCTGAAGGGAACCTTTGAGCAGAGGTAGTGTGGGCAGCATATTTTTCATTAAGGTATGGTACTAGAACTGTAGAGAGCATAAAACTGCTTAGGGTCTCAGGCACCCCAAGTCTGAACGAGGGCAAGAAGGAATGAACTTAAACATTGCTTTATTGTTATTAGAGCTGGTGCCAACTCATCAGTGATAGTGAAGAGCTTTGTTTTGTTGAGTTTCAAGGGCAGAGTTTGTTTAGGGTTAGGACAAAATGGTAATTGACTTAGAAATAAAATTGCCTACACGGTCTCTCTTGGCTTGTTCGAAGATGGCAGTACTTCCATGGCGTTTGTTACCATGTAGTCCAGCTCTTCTGTCATGTTAGGAGAGATCTTGAAATTGTCAGTGTTTCGTGTCAATGTTTTGTGTCAGAGTCAAATGATTCTGCTACTTCATAGGTGTCACCTTTCCAGTGAGTTTTGATACTCAAGAGAAAGTCACAGTAACAAGTTTGCCTTGTCCTCCTTGCGAATGTTATGACTACCTGTCTTCCAGTGACAAATTCCAAGGTGTTGGCAATTTGGTGGTGAAGATGCTGAAAATCTGTATATTAGGAATCAAGAGTAACAGAACTACTCTCAAGGAACCTTCTGAAATAACATGTATTATTGTAACTAATCAACAGTGTTCATAGTATTTGTTTTTTTTGCAGAAGCCAGGATGTTGACTTTTTTTTTGCCTTAGTAGCTTGACTATACTGTGATTAATGGTCTTGTACAAATTGAAACATGTTGTAGGTGTATTTGCTGTTGTGTGCAATGAACTGATGAGTGTTTCTCAGTTTGTGGTGGATATTATGGCAAAAATACTCAGTTTACAAAGCAGAGTTAGAAAATGTGGTTGTGATAAGGTAGCCACAAGTCTACTCTTTTACTTCCTAGCTGTAAGTTTTTAGAATGCACTATAGGCAGGCCAGAGATATCCATTCACTGTTAAAATGGTCCATGGCATTTGTCTTGTGTGAATATGCTCTTATCAGTGTGAGACTGTGAGGACATCTTTCTATTCCTTGAGAACCACAGATTAGATAACGTTGTAACACTGCATCTTTCTCTTCTTTTTATCCCTTTTTTTTTTTT